TGAAGACAGCGTCGTCAACCGCAGCAAGCAGGAACACGTGTCCACTCATTTGCCAAGTGCATTTGAAAATCGACAAAGCGACGATTATGCTGAGTATCCTGCTTTTTGCCGAGTGTTGTACCTAGCACTCTATTTAGGCTGGTCATTTCACCGAGTGGCCGACAAAAAACACTCGACAAAAGATTTGGCACTCATCACACTAGTCGATTTCAGTTATGAGTTGGTGGTGGCGGGAGGAGGCTCTGGAGGCGGAGATAGGTGGTGGAAGGACTAGGAATGGGTGGGGACATAGGAGTGGGGCGGCGTGGCTGGCTGAAGCCCAATTGGGGTGGCCAGAGATATTGCCGGTGGTTGGAGCTGATGTTTTTTATTTTTGAAAAGAAGGATTACCCCGGCCTCTGCATCAAGTGATTCACACAACCATATATTTATTAAATGAATAGAGTATCAGAGTGCCAAAATCATCTCAAATAGCTACTCAAAGAGAAGATAAAAAATAAATAGCCACAACTTGCATAAACAGATGGTAGGGGAAGGGAACTCCATCCATAAAAAAAGTATTTAAAATTAGGAAGCGAGAGAAGACCTTCCACCTTATTAGGGTGGATGTTGTGTTTTGGTTTATCCCAAAAGTGTTGTGAAAACTAAAAGGGGTATTGAGGATGGGATATATGCCTATATGAGCATCTACACGTACAAACAGCAAATCTGACCTCTCAAACGCCCGTGGAGGCAGTGACGGGACAACCCTCAATTTTTTCTCTCTGCATCTGGACGCCTCATAGTTTAACCCGTAAATATAACAAAGCATGCAAAAGAAAGATCTACATACTATGAAGATCAACTAAACCTACACTACACTACTTGTTGTTGTCGAAGATGCTCACGATCTACGTGCTGAGCTCTGGGTACATGGGCACCAACTACAGCTCCGGCTCCTCCATGTCGGCCTCTGCCTCCAGTCCGGCGAAAAGCGTGTCAGTCGCCGCCCATTCTTGTTGGATGAACCGCCGGTTGGCTTCTACATAGGATTCATCCTAGATGGACTCTAGGATGGCGGTCTGCTACGCCATTTTCGCCGCTTAGATGACCTCGTACTCCGCCATGGCATCCTCAATGACAAAGTCAACAACCAGCTTCGGCTCGGCCGTCGCCTCCTCCTCCTTCATGGGCTCTGGTTGTTTCTGCTGCTCCTCGTCCTCCGGCTCCGGCGAATCCGGAGGCAATGCGACCGCGAACCGGGCGACGCGCCTAGCCCGGATCTCCTCGAGCTGCTGGAGGCGCTGCTCGAGCGTGACCATAGTGTAGGTCTTCTTATTCTATCGGACCATGGCGGAGACAGACAACAAGAGGGAGAGCGGAAGCGGATATGGACGGTGGCAAGAGGTGGATGGATGGGATCTGGCTGGTGGCACGAAGAGGGATGAAGTGGATGTAGCTAGGGCTAGGGGACGTCGTCCAGCTAAAATAGCCGGGCCCTGGCCCTTGGGCGGCAAGCTGGAGTTGTGCCACACGGCGGTCACACCCCCACCGAAGGAGACGCCACTAGATAGATGGGTTTCCGGGCATTTACGTGTGAGACCTGGCTGTCAAGGCGATGTGTCGGACGCGCCTGGGCCGCCTCATATCCGCCCTTCATTTGGGCTGGATATGAGGAGTGTCGGTCAGCCCGGGCATTGAGGCTGGTTTGAGGCGCCCAGGTGGGTTATGGTCTTTGACCGGTCAGTGACCGGGCTGACCATCCGGGCGTTTGAGAGTGGTTTGAGGCACCTGGCTCTAAAAGCTTTATTAATTCCATGAAGAATTGACCATTCAAGGTCTTTTCTGTGATGGGTTAGAATCACTCTAAGGCGTTGAGATCATTCTTGTCAGATGAACCTCCGGTCCTTTTTGGGATGGGTTAGAGTCGCTCTAAGGCGTTTAAAACATTTCCATATTTCCGGCAAAAAGTGTGTCGGACGAGCCCAGACCACCTTATATCTGCTCTTCATTTGGGCTGGAGATAAGGGTGTTGGTCAGAGGTGTCCGGGTGAATCAAGGTTTTTTGATCGGTCAGTGACCAGACCAATCGCGCGGGCATTTGAGAGCGGTTTGAAGCACCTGACTGTAAATGCTCTAGTTCCTTGAGTTGACCATTCAAGGTATTTTTTTAGGATGGGTTAGAGTCCCTCTTGGGCGTTGAAGTTATTTCCATATGATTTGCCGCACGGTGGTGTGCACCGATGATATAACCCATGACTTTCTAACTAAAAGTGTAGAGTTCGTTAGAGACAAAAGTGATTATGTGCCACTGGGCATGATTAAGCAAAGGAAAAAGTACATATGCAACTCATCCATTTGCACGACGGCCCCTTGAGATACTCAGATACATCACATGACACTCCATCTTCCCACACTTGATGATGATCCGAGAAATGGCACAGCGTTCTTGTACATGATGAGTACAACTGTACAAGTACAATAACTCCACAGCCTTATTAAGTCCGCCTTTGATCGCCCCAGATTTTAGGCCGGTAGCTTAGTTCACCCTGGAGCAGCTGAGCCTGACCTGCCCCTGCGTCCCAGTGAGCGGGCTGATGTTCCCCATCCTCACCATGGCCGCCGTGAAGTCCCTGTTAAACCGCGCCGACCCCGACGAGTACGTCCGGACCAGGCCCGCGGTGCGTCCGTCGTTGATCAGAACCTGGTCAGAGTGCAGGAGCCCCTTCTGTGACATCAGGTTGCGGTAGTATGTGTTGTCGAACGCGTTGGGCGTCGTCGTGTCCAGTGGTGCCAGGCTGCTGTCGCCGGACCCGGTCGGCCGGGGGCAGTTGGCCTTGAGAGATGTTGCGAAGGGCGCATCGATGTTGGTCTCGTTGTAGAGCCTGTCCCGGAAGTTTTGGCACTGTGCCTGCCCGATGGTGTGGGCGCCAGATAGTGCGACCATGTCGTTCACGCTGAGCCCCTTGGCGGCGAAGTTGGCTGTGAGGTTGGCCACGTCGAATGATGGTGGCGGAAGGTCGCTGTTGGCCAGAGACAAGCTCGCCGTCGTCGAGTCCCTCCTCCCGAGAGGAACGGTCCACGAAGGCCCTCCCAGCTGCAAGCAAATAATAAGAACTAATAAGTTGCTTAATTTACTGTCGCGTGCGTTCACCAAATTGACTGCAGTGGCTTCGGATCGATCTTACAGCGACAACGGAGTCACGGGCAGCGACGGCGAGGATGTCGGCGCAGGAGACAGTCTGCGCGCACACAGCCTCGACCTGCGCCTTGATGTTGTCGATAACGTTCATGCCTCGAATGGAGCCGGCGTTAGGAGCTGCCCCCTGCTCGCCGGTGAAGGTGGCCGTGTCGCTCAGCAGTACGGACGCGTCGCAACCCTGGTATGCATCGATCGTCACACACATAAGAAATTACTTCCGTCAACTGAAGTATCTTCTCGGTAAAGAAATATAAAAGCATTTAGATCACTAATCTAAACACTCTTATATTTCTTTACGGAGGAAGTACATTCTAATTCCACTAGTTGATTTGAACTGAAGAACTGAAAAGTCACTGTCAAAGTGTCAAGAAAAAAATGAATTGAGAAGTCACTGTGAACTGAAAAGTCTAAAGAGGAGTTGCTACACCTACATAAAACAACTTACGCTACGTCATTCGTAGATGTAGGTTTATCGGTCTAAAGAGTGTTAACTTATCAGTAGTTAGGTACACATGTAGTGCTCCGCTCCATTAACTTTTTGATAGTAATGACTTTAACTATAATTTAAACTGAGACCTTGTAAATTAAGTACTTTCTTCGATCCATTAAATCAGCAACAATTAATATGGCTCCAAGAGATTAGCATCAGAGTATGCAGTAGAAACTACAGTAAGTAAAGAGAGAAGGCGAGAGGGACTTGCTTGGACAAAGCAGTCGTGGAAATGCAGCCGGAGCAGCGACGCTCCCATGCGGCGCTCACTCCTCACGGCGGCCCCCACACCCCTCCTGATGATGGCCAGCGCCCTGGGGCACGACCTCGCGTAGAACCTAGGCGAAAGCTGCGCCGAGGACGATGCCGCCAGGCACAGGAGCAACAGCACCGGCAGAGAAGAGGCCATTGCCATTGCCATGAGTGTACTTCTGTACGCAAGCAGGCACACTAACCCTGTTGAGATGAAAGCTCTATGCAATGGCCTGCATTACCATGACTACATACACCCGTTTATATGTCTGGCACATTTCAAGCGATTGTCCAGCCCGTGACAGTCCATTTGGTGTAACATGACAACTGGTACTGTTTATTTTGGTTGGAGATGGATATAGTACGGTTGGTATGGTGTTCCTAGTGCAACGCAACAATGAACAATGGGAACTCTATTGGCTAGCTAGTAGGCTAGGGTTGTGGTAGCGTCACCACAAGCTCACAATTATCGTAGCTCACCAAATGGTTTGGAATATTAGTTGGTTGGCCTTGGCAGTGTTCATCAATACATATGCCCCTTGTAGACCTGCCAAGTAGTTTTTTTCTTTGCAAAAAAACTTTCAATCTATTCATCTTCAATCATGGCTCTATAACGAACACAAGAAATAATAAAAATTACATCCAGATCCGTAGACCACCTAGCGACGACTACGATATTAGAGGCATTAATGCTGCACCACCCAATACATGTTCTGCACAAACAAAACCACACAAGATATTCTGCACCTCTGTTGCATGTTTGAAATACACAGTATGACTAGTGGGGAAATGGCCAGCATTTGAGAAAGTCCTCATCTGGTGGCGAGCTCAAATGAGTTCGTTATTGACAAATGTTTTCAGTGCTCACAAAATTTCGGAATGATATTCGCGGAAGTGGTGGCAAAAAAAAATCAGCACTCCCTCGAAAATGCTTTCGAAAATAGTTTTTTGGAGCATCGAGTTTTTTTGGCCACAACTACCATGAATGTCACTCCATGATGAAATTTTGCAAGCGCTGAAACCATTTTGTCAATGTTTGCCACCAATATATTTCAGAATTTTTTGAATTTGTTTTCTATTTTTCTTGGATTTTATTGTTCACCCGAGTTAATTTGAGCTCGAGCTAAAATACTCTGCGTTGAAGTTCCGAGCATTTTGTCTTAATCATGAGCTAGCAATACTGTGTCCGAGCAAATGAAGTTTTAGTTCTTCCACTCAATACATGTGGTTGTTAACAGGTAGGATGCCAGCCATGCAAAATTCTGCAAGAAAGGTCAATAATTGATGTTGAGTGATTGAGGTTTGTAAATGGAGACAAAGAAAATACTATACTGCATGGTGTACTAATCTGCAGAGACGTACCATGCATGAATTTTTCGTTTTTAAAGATACCATATATTATGTGTTTATCCTTCTTCTGTTGACTGCATGTACCCTTCCGTCAGTTAATAGGACAATAACCAATTGTAATATTATTTTTTTGACAAAGTGGTCAGTTAAGTCTGACTGCTACTATTGATCAATGAATACTGGTACACCACTTGTAGCAAACATATTCCCATCGATACATCCTGAGATGAGATGGATGTATCCATCACTGTGTTTCTAGTTTCTAGACCTCCGACGGTGGAGCGAATTTTGTACTATCAATGCACCACCTGAAATTATAGTTTTATTAAATAGCCGGCTATAACTCCGTTATAGTCTCCTATAGCCTTTTTAGCAGGATGCCGCTAAATGGCCACCTTCATAAATCTCCCGCTATAGCTGATTTGGAGGCCGTCCGCTATTTTCCATAGCCCGCTACTTAAAACATTGCCTGAAATACAGACAAGGTCAGACCTATTACTCAAATATTTAGACAACTAGACACTTTGCTATGTACTCCCTCCATTTTTAGACATAAATCTTTTTAGAGATCTCAATAAGAGACTATATACAAAGCAAAATGAGGTCAGATGGATGTCACTATGTTTCTAGTTTCTAGACCTCCGACGGTAGAGCGAATTTTGTACTGTCAATGCACCACCTGAAATACAGGCAAGGTCAGACCTATTACTCAAATGTTTAGACAGCTAGACACTTTGCTACGTACCCCCTCCATTTCTAAATACAAGTCTTTTTGATATTTCAATAAGAGACAAAATGAGTTAATCTACACTCTAAAATATGTATATATACATTTGTATATAATCCATAATGGGGCACAGTTGATCTACCGAGGACCAAAACTAGTAGAAAACAGGGCTATCGTTCGGCCCTGGCCAACCCATTAGTCCCGGTTCTTCAAGAACCGGGACCAATGGGGGGTATTAGACCCGGTTAGTGAGCCCAGGGGGGCGGCCGGGGCCTTGTGGGCATTGCTCCCGGTTCGTGTGGAACCATTTGTCCCGGTTCGAGCCACGAACCGGGACCAATGGTCCTCGCTACTGGCCCACAACCATTGGTCCCGGTTCGTGGCTTGAACCGGGACAGAAGGGGTGGCTTTAGACCCGGTTCATGCCGTGAACCGGGACAAATAACTTGCCTACATATACCCACCGCCGCGGCAGAGCACTCCAGAGTGCTCTGTTTTGTCAAGCCGGCGAAGGGAGGGCATTTGGGTGCTCTATTTCACCTCCTATGCACATGAGGTGTTCGATGAAATGCCCGAGCCACACTAGTTAGCTTTCTCCTCTCGAAACTCGACCTCCGAACTCCATTTTCAACGAGATTTGTCTAAATTTAGTGGTCCGTCACGCCCCGTCCCCGCCCCGTCTTCACCGCCGTCGATTGCCCGCGCCGATCTCGTAGCCGGCACCACCGTGGTGAGCCTCTTGTTCATATCTTCTTTCTGGAAAAAAAATCTGACTTCAGATAGATACTTGTCTAATTTTCTTACTTTTATTATTCCTTGTTATTATATAGTGCGATGGTTTTGGTATCCGCCCCCGTCGGCCCTCGTCCTGTCTATGATTCAGATATGGTATATATATTATCTTTTCATAACTATTTGGTTCATTTATTGTTTATGACAATTATGCCGACCAATGTGACATAGAATTTATTTATCTAAGAGGTTGTTGAACCGGAAATTCCAACCGACCCTATTGTCGAGAGGTTAAATTTAGTTGAAGAAAAAAACAATTACTTGAAGGAAAAAATAAAAAAATTGAGGAGGAGAAGAGGATATTGGAGTTGCATGTTACGGATGTCGTCGATGATCACAAGATCAAGATGGATGCAATGCGGTTGAAGATTAAAAAGATTAGAAAATATGCCATTCATACCGAGGCTTGGTATCATTATGCAGTTGGATCAGTTGTTACCTTGGTTGCGGTTATGATCGCATTTGTTTTTGCATTGAAATGTTTTACATAATTCCAATGTATGGTTTAATTAGATGCTCTGAAGAGCTATATGTTGTTCAATGAGAACTATGTATGTACTTTGGTTTTAATGCTCTGGAGAACAATGTATGTAATTTGGTTTCAGAGTTTATTTCAAATGCTTTTCAACTTCATGGACTTACAGCTTTGAATGATGCATTTTGAACACAGAAAAACAAGGGAGTTCAAATAAGTTCAAAAAAATTGAAAGCCCTTTGTAACAGACAAGTTTTGTACACGAAGTGCATCCAGTTTTTACCGTCAGCCTCTTTACTTTCTTGCACATGCTATGTGGGTGAAATGATGATACCATGCCAACTTGGAACCTTTTCAGAGTTCATTTCAAATGCTTTTCAATTTCATGGTCTTATAGCTCCAAATAATCAGTAAATGCATGAAAATAACAAATGAAGTCAAAAAGGGTTGTAAATTGATGATGTGGCTTTGAATGGTGCATTTTGAACACAGAAAAACAAGGAGGTTCAAATAAGTTCAAAAAAATTGAAATCCCTTCGTAACAGACGAGTTTCTGTATGAAACACTGATACTTCGAAGGAGATTGTCTGTTTTGTACACAAAGAGCATCCAGTTTTTGCCGTAAGCCTCTCTACTTTCTTGCACATGCTATGTGGGTGAAATGATGATATGATGCCAACTTAGAACCTTTTCAGAGTTCATTTCAAATGATTTTCAATTTCATGGTCTTATAGCTTAAAATAATTAGTAAATGCATGAAAAATAACAAATGAAGTCAGAAAGGGTTGTAAATTGATGATGTGGCTTTGAATGATGCATTTTGAACACAGAAAAATAAGGGGGTTCAAATAAGTTCAGAAGAAATGAAATCCCTTTGTAACAGACGATTTTCCGTATGAAACCCTGATACTTCGAAGGAGTTGTCTGTTTTGTACACGAAGTGTATCCAATTTTTGCCATAAACCTCTCTACTTTCTTGCACATGTTATGTGGGTGAAATGATGATACCATGTCAACTTGGAACCTTTTCAGAATTTATTTCAAATGCTTTTCAATTTCATGGTCTTATAGCTCAAAATAATCAGTAAATACATGAAAAATAACAAATGAAGTCAGAAACAAAATAAAATAAAATAAATAAGTAATTTGAAACAAAATAATATAAACTTTAATATAATAGATAAGTAGAAACAAAAAAACTTTAATAACATAAATAAAATTTATGAAACTAAAATTATCAAAGTATTTTCTGTTCAAAACATTATAAGCAACTTCTAGTATTATTGAAACTAAAATTATATAAAATTGATGCAACTAAAATTATCAAAGTATTTTCTGTTCAAAATCATTAAAAGCAAAAAGAATTTTCTTAAAGAACTTTTTTTGTTAGAAACTTTAATAGCAAAAAGAATTATCATAAAATATAACTAATAAGTAATTATAAACAAAATAAAATAAAATAAATAAGTATTTTCTTGTAAGTAGAAACAAAACAAAATAAATAAAGCAAAAAAGAAAACAAAAAAATTGGGAAAAAATTGGGAAAAAATAAAAAAAATTGCCACCAACTAGGCCACCACGGCCTGAATACGACTAGAAACACATCCATGGGCCAGGATGCAGGCCCGCAGTAGGCCCAGAAGGCCCATCAGACAAAGCAGTAGCAAGTAGGCCTGTAAGCCTGCAGTGGAGAGGAGCTCGAGAGGGGTGCAGCAGTGGGGCTTATAAACCACTACGCGCCCCTCTCAACTAGCGAGGTGGAACTAAACTTTGGCTGCAACGCGGGCAGCACAGGGGCCTTTGGTCCCGGTTGGTGGCACCAATC